AGCAGGAATTGGATGCCGTGATCTGCATAGACATCATTGATAGGATGAGACAAGAAGAAGGCATACAGAGCAGACAACCTCAGTTTCTCCCTCCTCATGTACCTCATTACCAACCCGAAAACACTTGAAAACCAGCAATTCCCACATGACCAATCAGCCGCAAGAGTAAGCAGAGGCTGACAACATGAAACCTGGTCCGGGACTCCTCTTCTCCCGCAATAAAACTTCAGGTTGCTCATCGTCTCATCTGATTTGTCGGCAGAATCACTTGCTCGATCGCAAAGTCTCTTCCTTTTTCTACTATATACAATCCCAAACACCTTATCCACAGGTTTCTCATCGTGGGCAGTCTCAGTTTTCGTTTGTCTCCGTCTTTTGACCCGAAAGTCATATTTTTTCCCGGTGGTGCTGCTGCTAACGGACGTTTTGTTCGCCTTGTTCTTACCATGGTCTTTCAAGAGAGAATCCCAACCATGGCCATCCACATCATGAGCTAGCTTGACTTTTGGTTCGACGGAGTTAGGCCAGAGACGGCGACCGGACCGGAGGACCCGGGCTCCGTCTGCGGCTTTAACCACCCCGAAAACCCTTGTTCGTCTCATTGCCACCGACGGCATCGACCCCTTACTTTCACGCGCGGGCCAGATGACTCGGTATTCACCACTACTGGGCTGAATCTCTCAGTGTTCGCTCGGAACTAAACTACTTTAATTGCCCCCAACATGTTTCCGGTTGGGTCAGATACGCTGTCTGATCCCGACAAGATGGAAAAATAACCTCTCGTTACCTTCCCAGGAACGGATTGAAACATTGATTTCAAGGACGGAAACAAATTTCACCGGATTCAATCGCAGATCAAACTATTAACAAGACCCAGAAGAAAAAACACAACAAAATTCAACGAGAAGAACAAGATCTATTCATGGGTTTCTCTTTAAAAGTGGGTAGTCACATAGAAGATGAAAAAAAGATCGGCGGATGGATGAAAATGGTTCACGAAGTTCTCATTTTGACACGAATGGAGGAAAACACAAGAGAAGTGGGGCTAGGGTTTATGATTGAAACAGCGGAAAGGGGGAACAAATTAAAAAAATATATCTTTTTTTGGAGGATTAATTGTGTCCGTTGGATGGGAAAACGTACGGATCAGATTCGGTTAAAAAATCTGAAGATGTAAAATGACGAATTTATCCCCGTAAAGGAGGAAATGGCCGGAGTAGTCTGGTAAAGTGCAATTTGGTAAATGTGTAGGAATTTGTTTTAAGATTGAAACCGCGAGAATTTCTCCTTTTAATTTGGAAAAATAAAGCCAAACATTCTGAAATATTATTTTTTTTAATGAATTGAAACTAATAATTTACAAAATAAATTATTGCATTTAATTAAAATTAAAATATAAAAACAAATTTTGTTCTGCCATCAAAGTTTAGTTTTAGATATTTAGCGTTTGATATTCTAAAACTAAGAATATTTATGCCTATACTTTTCATAATATAAATTTAACTGTAATTTCGATTTTTTCTGAAAATAATATTTTAGATTTCCTTCTCAAACTTAAAATATAAAGTATTAAAAACAATTTCCATTTGTATAAAATACAAGATACTAAACCTTACAAACCTATACTTAACAACCACATAGTAATATTTATACTACACGTTAAAACATATTACAAAAATGTCTATGCACTATGTCCCATGTTATTTTTTCTCCTTTTAAATTTAATGCTGCTTTTGATAATGTTCATTTTTTTCAACATTATCCACATTTATTTTTAAAGTATATATATTTTTATATTTCTTACAGAAATATTACTAACCTAATTTTTATATTTTTTAAAATTTTATTAACATAATTTATACAAATTATTTTTTTAGTGATAAAGTTTTCAGGCAAAAAAAGTCGGTTTTGGATTCAGATATTCATTTAAAACTTTGGATATCTAACTTTGGCTATTATAACTATGGATGGTGGTATTTTTTTTTTTTTTTTTTTGGTTTTTGTTGAGATCAAGACACTGTTCTGGTTTTTGAACATATTTATAAATCCAAAAAATATTTTTTTTTTGTTTTTTAATTGATTTTTTTCAGTAAAATATTTTTTCAATTTTTTAAGAAAACTAAATACATATAATATTGATTGTAAATTTTTTTTAAAATTTTTGGATTCTGAAAAACCAAAAACCTCTTCCAATCAACTCTATATTTTTCGGATTCAAATTCCTATAATAATTTCTCTATTCATTCAAAGAAGCTAGAAAATCTTGAGCAATATTTAAAGATAGTTGCAGACACAAACTCAGTCATACAACCAAAAAGGGATGGATGGATACATTATTTCTTGAACTGAAATTTTCAGACACAGAGTTCATGTTTTCGCTCAAACAAAAGGGAAGAATTCAGAGTCATATATTTATTCAGGTACATACGATTCGGTCTTTTTATGGATGGTCATAACTCATAAGATGATCCTCTCCTTAAGCCCTTGATCCGCCTTCGGTTTCCCAGAAAGTCGTTTTCTTTCCCGTCTTCGACACCGTCTGCAGAACTGCATCGGGCTGCACATTGCCTTTCACCGTTACCTTCTGCTCCTTCAGATCGATATCGAACGACTCCACACCTGAAAAATTTTCACTTTCGCCGTTCATTAGCCGGTTATTCGCTCATCTCGGACATAAAAGGATAGCTAGCTACGTGGTTGTTCCCTGTCCTTCCCGAGGGTAATATCGACCACAACTCTCCAATCCCTTTCTTCCGTGATAGTTTCCGAGGTAATTATATTGGACTACTCAAGGAAAAGATTCATGGGTTCTGGAGGGTTGGTGAAAAGGTATCGAATGCATTTGAGACAGAACACAAAGGTCAATACATAGATAGCCTCATAACTGAAAATGCATGTTGGAGACAGAATTCGGTAACCAAAGACACAATAGAAACTACTAAAAAGAAGATCAAAAGAAACGAGAGATACACTAAACAATCTATACGCATAGACAGCGGATAAAGCATCACAAGAGTGTCTCAAATCTCAGTATAAACGTTAAAGAAGATGATGAACAACCATGTAGTAACTAGATTTCATCTCAGCATGAACAAGGCGGAAGGAAGAATCGAAACTAACCTTCCATTTTGCCAAGAACTCTTTTCACTGCCCCGACGCATCCCTCACAGGACATAGCTACCTTGAGAACAACCGTCTATCCGGAAAACCAAGTGACCGAAAAGTTAAACCTTGGAGGCTAAAATCAAATTCACAGGACAATGATAATGTAACCTTTGATCTCATCAAATTTGCTACAACATCACAGAAGCAGATCCATCTAAAGATAAACAATGAGGACAACCCTTTCAAGCTAACACGCATGGCTTTACGATCCATGCTTATCCAGGTCGGAATTCGAACAGAGTTATCGAATCGGATCTTGATCAATTCAACTATAAAGATCTATGCAACTGATGATAACGAATTGCCTATCAATCGGAAGAAGGAAGGAAAAACCGAATCGAATCTTGATCGGTGGAAAATGGAAACAAGCCCATCATCAAACATCGAGATGGGGGATATCCAAAGAGAAAGGAGAGAAAAGCACCACCGATTCGATATGATCAGGAAACCAATCGAAGCCCTAACTCAATCAGAAAGTAAAATTTCCAAAAAAGACGCAAACTTTGCGATAACCCAGATCTCAAAAATTCGAAATCAGGAGAAAATCTGATTCGAGTACCTGAGACATGACTCCGTTATCTGGCGGGATTCAATCACAGGCGAGAAGAAGAAGAAGAAGAAATTGTACGATTTGGATTTTGCCCTTTAAACCAAAAAAAGAACAAATCGTGAAGAATTGATTGGTTTGCAAAACTCGCGTGTTGGACCAACCAAGTCTCCTGCTTAGGCAAAACGACGCACAAAAATATAATATGATATATATATATATGGGATTATCATAACAAACATATGAACTTTTTAAATTTACTAAATAAATATATAAACTTTAAATTTTATGTAAAAATATATAAATTTTAAAATATTTTATATAAATCCATTTGTATAAAAATATACAAATTTTGAAACTTTTTGTGTATGTCCACATTTTGAAGTTTTTTACATATATCCACACAAAAAATCAATTACACGGAAATTTCAAAATTTATATATTTTTACACAAAAACTAAAAATTAGTATATTTATTTATCAAATTTAAAAAGTTTGTATTTTTTTGGTGATATTCCCCCCCCCCCCATATACATATATATATATAATCTGTGTATAGAAGAGTGAAATCAGGCATGAAGAGTTTAATCTGAACTCAGAAAGTCTCTGCAGGAGTTGGCGGCTTTGTTTTTGCAGATACTTCCAAGTTCAAACCCACATGAAAGTAATACACCGTAGACCATATCTCTTCAAAATCCAATATATATTACAAAACGAAACCTTGAACTTACATTATGGTTTATAATATATATACACACACACAATAACACATGCATTATCCGTTCTTTCCCTTTCTCTGCAGTTAACAGTTGCAAGTTTTAACAACAATATGTTACAGCGGAAAGCGAAAGGAGTGTTTCTATTACAACATTAAAAAAAAAAAAATCAATAAAACGTTACAAAGTATAAAACATGAAACACGAAAAGATTAAATTAGAGTTAAAGAGAGAAAAAAAAGTTATAAGCTTCAAACTGGAAAACAAGAATCAAAGTGCAAAAGAAAGGGAAAGAAATGAAGTAGGCAAGGAAGCAAGGAACAGTTTGCTAATGTTTCATGTCTCTGTTCCTGTACTCAGAGCCAAAGAAAGGCATATACATATATATATATATATATGTATGTATATGTATATTTATATATATGTGTGTGGGTTCAGTACTAACCATCAATCATCAAGCTAGTTTCTTTGTTTCTTACTGAAACTGAGACTGTAAACTTGTGAGAAAAAATGGAGATGAAGGAGAAGGAATCTGCACAAGTACATCGGGAAAATGCTTCCCCCCCGGCCTCTCCGTTCGTGTTTGCTAACCCCAAACCCCCAGGAGACCCTCAGAACCCGTCTGCGTCCGAAGATATCCACCGCCGCATAAACCTCACCAGGAGTCCTTTCCGGGTTGCGAATCTGCAGGTCCCAAATGACGTTAGGCCCGAAAACGCCCTGAGGAACAATCCGTTTGGTTTCGACGGTCCCAACATCGAGGCGTTCGTTCCTCCGGCTCCTCCTCCCACCAGTAAAATTCTTGATTCTCTTGCCAAAACTTAGATAAGAAGCGGCATTGAAATATATTAACACATGTTTTGTTTTGTTTTGCTTTTCGTGTGTTGAAGAGAGGGTGACGAACGAGTTCTACGAGTATCTACCGTTGGGCCGAGCGATAAGCAGAGGCGATCTCCGAGCCGTGAAGGACTTTCTGAACCTCAGGCCGGATGCCATTACCGCGTGGATAGACTTCTACGAGACTCCATTGCTCAAAGCTTGTAGCTGTGGAAGGCCGGAGATCGTGAAGGAGCTTTTACGGAGAATGACGCCCGAGCAAATGATCAGCCCGAGGGAAAACGAGAATTTTCCTTACCATACTCCTTTAACCGTAGCTTCTGTCAATGGAAACATGGAGATTGCCGAGGCCCTTGTTGCGAAGAACCCGAAGCTTCTAGAGGTTCCGGGACATGGCAGCCAGATACCTGTTGTGAAAGCAGTCATGGCCGCTCAGAAGGAAATGGCTCGCTTTCTTTATCCCCTGACCCCTCTTCCCGTTCTGCTCGCTTACGACGGATTCCAAGGGAGCTTACTCCTCAGGAATTCCATAGTCTATGGAATGCTCGGTGAGTGTTTCTTGAACTAGTTAACGCAAGGATCTGGCAAATCTTGAATCGGTTCTCATGGGTTTCACTTCAAATGCGTTGACCAGATATTGCGTTGGACGTCTTCGAAGCCTGCCCTCGCATGGGGGTTGCTAAACATCCTCTTATACCGTTCCCTCCCATCTCTAGTTTGGCCCTACGGTCCGATTTGTTTCTAAGTGGCTGCGATCTTGGATTCTGGCAACGCCTGATCTACTCTTGTCAGTGCTCTTTCTTCATATGTAATTCACCAACACACACACACACACACACACACACATATATATGTATATCTGTATGCATATCTCATCTCTTTCAATCGTTTCGATTTCTTAGGTGTAGAAGTGAAGCCTCAGATTGATTCAGAGACTTCAAGCTCAAGCCGAAACCAATATCAAAGTAAGCACATAGACACAATCTTCGGCATCTGATCATGACACACTGTGTTTCTGAGTTTTGTCTTTTCCTCCATTGTGTATAGGTATTCTCTGGAAGATTCTTCAATGTCTCCCGAAATGGTTTGGTAGGTCGAATTTTTTTCCCCCGAAATAACTTCACTCTTCGTCTGAAAAATCTTCAACGTTCATAGTTTCTTGTAAGATCTGTAATGTTGTATTCTCTGAAACAGGAATAGATCGTATATGTGAACTGAAAGAGATGCATTTGAAAGCAGTTCAGCTCGTACGAGGAATGTCCGAAGAAATCTCGGCCATGGGGAAGATAGAACGCTCGCAGAACGGATTTGAAGAAGCCTTCTTCTTCGCCGTGAGAAGCGGAAACAAGGAACTCCTGGTTGAGATGATAAAACGCAACTCCGAGTTCCTGTGGGTGTCCGAAAACAGTTCTCACAGTAACATCTTCCTGTTGGCCGTGGAGTTCCGACAGGAAAAGATCTTCAACCTGTTGTATGGTTTGGATGAGAGAAGAGACATGTTGCTGACGGGAACAGACAATGTCAGTAACGGAATTCTTCATATCGCCGGTCGTATCTCTCCGCCGGATGTTCTCGCTCAGGTCCCTGGTGCGGCTCTCCAGATGCAAAGAGAGCTTCAATGGTTCAAGGTTTCTATTTTCCCCCTCATGCATTACAAACCCGATATTTTCGGATTTTACCCACTGATCTCCTAAGACGGATTCGTAAGGAAACTAACCTTTGTTCGTTTTTCGGGTTGAATGTTCAGGAAGTAGAGAGGCTAGCACCGGAAATAGATAAAGTGATGCAGAACGCGGAAGGTCTCAGGCCGCGAGACATATTCGACGCAGCTCACGGGCCGCTGAGAAAAGAAGCCGAGGAATGGATGAAAGGCACCGCCACATCGTGCAGCCTCGTGGCCGCGCTCATCGCCACAGTCACATTCCAAGCCATATTCACCGTCCCGGGAGGCACGGATCAAGCCTCCGGAAACCCTCTTCATCTCAGAGAAGCTCGGTTCATGGTGTTCGTCATCTCGGATATCATCTCGTTCTTCGCATCTTGCACTTCCGTACTCATATTCCTCGGCATGCTCACGGCAAGATACTCTTTGGACGATTTCCTCGTCTCTCTTCCCTCCAAGATGATCGCGGGTCTATCGACTCAGTTCATATCGGTCGCCGCCATGCTCGTGGCGTTCTCGACCGCGCTTTTCACGATGCTGGAAGAGATGCCGAAGCTCGCGATCCCGGTTTTACCCCTCACTTGCCTCCCCACCGCCCTCTTCGTCATGTTTCAGTACCCTCTTCTTAAGGAGTTTATAGCTTCCACTTATGGCAGAGGAATCTTCAAGCGGGACACCGAGCGTTGGTTATAATGTGGATCATATGTTCTGATGTTTTCCGATGTTGGATCTGAATCCAATTCCTTTTCCTTCTCTGTGTGTTGTCTTTGTTTGTAACAAGTTTTCGTAAACGAATAAGAAACCGAGTCGCTTGTTCGACTCACAGGATGCCAAGACTCGTCATTCTCGACATGGCCGTACGTGGTTCTGGTCCGGTGGTGAGTTATGTGGCTGCAGGAAGTCACATCACATGAAGAAGATGAGAGATTCTGAAATGATTCCGAATCTGATTTGTCAGAGTTTTGGTTCCGACGTCTGAATTCAAAAGTGGGGTCATGTTTTGCTGTAACGGTCAATAACGGTAAATGTTCAGTTTCATTGCCATTTTGCTTCGAGTTTCAAGATAAAAACGGTTGGTTTCTAACCAAAACTATTTTTAAGGATTAAAAAAGGTTATTTATTTATTTATTTATAAATATCCTTTGAGTTAGTTATTCAATTATTTTAATTTGATTTTTTTTTAAATAGCTTTTTGATAGGTTTATCTTGAAGGAGCCGCAAACTTCCAAACCAAATCAAAACGATGATTGAAATATTACAGATTACAGTGTATATTGAATGAAAATGACGGTATTGTAATTTGATGGTAATTGATTTCAATACGAGAAAATATTTTTGATGAAACTTATTGGATGTCAATGATTGATCTTTTAATAGAAAAATTGACCTAAAAGAGGAATATCTATTGGTAAAGTAAACAAAAATAAAGATAGATTTTCTAGACGTTTTTGTTCAATTTATTATACTAAAATTTTGTTATGAAAATAATAATAGAGATTGACTTATATATTTAAAAGGATTCCATAAAGTATTCTGTTTTTGATACATAGTATTTAAAATTAATAACTTTAATATATTTTTATATAAAACCTAAAATTTGTACAAATTAAATTTTATATAGATTGTGTGAAGACCTTGAAATGTTTGAGATAACTCTGATAATGCATATGTAATTTGATATTATTTATCCGCACTCTTTTGTGTTCTTCCTCATCTTAGAAAACCATTTTTTTTTTGTAACTAGAAGCATTGGCGAGCCCATTTATATTTGAATGGGGTTACGTGACCCATTTAACTAATTAAAAAAAAACTTGAATTTATTTACACATTTTATAAATTTTTTTAACATAAATGTTAAATGGCCCATTATCAATAAATATAATCTACCACCTTCAATGATATTTAATCATAATTAAATACAAAAAATAAGACCAAAAAAATCAAAGATATAGAAATGTTATGATTTTTATTTAATATTGTTTATATATTTATTTAATTTTTTATTTGATTTGATAGAAAAATCATGGATAAATTTTTCATAATTTTTTTTTACATAATATCTCAAAATGTGAGATTGTCCAAATGTTTGGTCCGATGTCTGAATTCAAAGCTCGGGTTCTGTTTTTACTGTAACGGCTAATAACGGCAAACGTTCTGTTGTATCGCCACTTTGGTGCTTTTAAAAGACATAGGGGAAGATAATCATGAACAGAGAGTGAGCCGAAGATGAACAGAAACAACGGTAAGGAGATATAAACCGAATAAAACAAAGATTTGGCTTCTGAGGTATTATTATTATTAAACTACAAGGCTCAAACGTTACAGATTTCACACACAAATCAAACAAACGCGAATGGGCGGAATTAGTTTTCGGGTTTTCTCAAATGTTCCACCATTTTCGCTTCTCCATTTGCTTGGCGAGCTCCTGCGCCATTGATGCGAAGTTCTCCGCCCCGCTCTGGAGCTCTGCGGTGCGTTCGCTGATTCTCTGCGACGGGTCCGATACAAAAAGTGTTTTCGGGTTTACGATCGACTGATTCACTGTCGTCCGATCAGTATTTTTTCGGGGGTATAGACACTTACCTCTAGCTTTTCTTGGCGTTCCATAAGCTTGTCTCTCGCCTGTGAAGCTATTGCAGAGGTTTCCTGTAAATTTTTCTACGACAATGTTAGAGGCAATCTGATAGAAATGGAAGGGTTTCTATTGGGATAGTTTTCCCGCATTTGAGGAACTCGGGAATCCTTGAACGTGATTTGAGATACATTCTGCCAAGGGGTGGATACTGGTCAGGTATCCGAGATTTTCGTGTTACAAAACCCGAAGTTGAACATCTCAAGTCTCACGAGATATTGTCTCATCTCAGATCCGCTTTGGTTGGGTACTCGAAATAATTTTCGGGTTTTCGTCACGTTATAACCCGATCTCATCTCATATAGTGCTCGTGTACCCAAAACTTTCCGTATTACTAGCTCCGCCACCCTTTTTCTTGATAAGTCTCTCATCCTTTCACAAACCCTCTATGAAGATGAAACAGAAACAAGAGAGAAGCTCTATGCATAATGGAATTGAACTCATGACTTACCCCAGCTTTTCTGTATTTGGCCTTAATCTCATCCACAGTCCTCATTCTCGGTTGTGCATCGCTTGATGCACCTTCAAACAATCTCTCCTTTTCTGTTCTTTTATCTGTGAAATAACCTTAAAGTTATACGAGACAAAACCAGATATCAGCACTCAAGGAAATCTAGAACTTATTACCTTTCTTCTCATTTCTGTTTGTCTCGGATGAAGGCAAAACAGCCACGGGCTCATCATCTATCTCGATGTCATCTGCAGGGAACAGCCTACAATCAGGCAAAAATTCAAGAACAAGGTTAAGGAGAAGGCATAATGACAAAAACATCACAAACCTATGTTCAGCTCAATAATCTTTTCATCGTCTCCACTAGTAGCAGATGGCTTTAAGTATGGCGGGTTAGAGAAGATGTTCCCCAAGTGTGAAAAGTCTTGTGCTTGTTCCACCTTCTGTTCGTTGCTTGATCTGAAGCCCTTAATAATGCCGCCTAGGAATCTTGGACTGCCTTCCTGTGATAAACATTGATTCTCAGCGAATTTTGTAAATCGTAAAAACAGGTTCGGAGCTGAACGTAGAAACGTACCGGGTTTTTCTTGTGATTCGGGAACTGGCTGAAGGTGGCATTAGCAGCAGCCGCAAGAACTTTGTCATGGAGAGAAGGGAAAGAATCTGGGATCCTAAGAAAAATTCAAAACTAGGTATTATTAGTGACTTAGAAAATGAAATTCAGAAGAGCAAAGAGTTAGCCAAAATAAACCTGAAGCCATTTTCATGGGCCATGAATGATAGGATGGCTACTTCACACCCATTCACCTGTAGATCCGGTTTTTATCAGTCGAAAACATAGATGGTAATACAAGATCACCCAATAAGGATATATATTCGTCATGAGATAAGAAGTTTTATGAACTCGATAAAACTTCCGAAGGCCATATTATAGTTTATTAGGTTTCTAATCTGTGTCGAAGTCTAGAGTAAAATCAAAGATTAGGGAAGCCTCACCAGGACAACATGGCCACTACCATCGGAACATACTGTCTTCTCCATGTTAGTCTTGAAGTTCCACCTCAGTAGTGACATCAGGGAGCTCTCTTGAACAACTTCAAGATCTGGGAAAGACCTGTCCACGAAACGAAACCATTTCAGATTTTCGGTTTTATGATGTGGGTATGGGTATATGTGTGGTGGTATTTTGGTGCTCATACAAGTGCAGTATCAAAAGTTTTAGTTACAAGATTTCATTTCATAGGTTGGATTGTATCCTGGCTGATACAATCTGTGCATACTTTTCACATCTCATTTGCATAGTGTTTTGCATTTTTAGTTAGTCATTTCATGCATTTTTGTTTGTCATTTTGCTCCATTGCATTGCAAGTGTCTATAGGCAGATTTGTTAAGCATAAAGGAAAGGTTCATGAGGCAAAGGCAAGATTGAAGATATAACTCAGCATAGGAAAAAAGTAGGATTTACAGATTAAAACTGAATCCGGGCCCTTTGTAATGAAACTCGATTCCTAGGACGCTTATTTGAATTGTTTTATCTCATCATTTTACTTGTTTGTTATGAAATCCAATGATTCTTGATCTATTCACTATTTTTACTCCTATTTCTGGTTTGTTTTGTTTCGACTAAGCAGCCTTTGAATTAGCCTCACTCACCTAGATTACTACAACGAGATGTGCGCTTACAGAATCATTACCTTACTTCCATATGCCCTGTTCGGTAAAGCAGAAGCACTCCACATTCCTCGCCGCCTTTTTTGAGGGTTGTCATCCAGCAACATGGCCTTGAAAGATTCACCTCCACCACGCAATCAAGACTTCCCTATGTGTTGAAATGCAAGTTCTTGATATAAGAAGAAAGGGACCGAGTCGTTCCAGGAAACCATAAACAAAGACAGATCAGCTAATTTACCTTAGGCTGAGACAGAGATTTCAAAGTATACAAGCGCAGTGTATCCTCACAGCAAATCAGAAATGGCGACCTTGCTAATCTCTGATCAACAGGTTTCGTTTCCGTGACAACACTTCGTTCACTTTCTAGTGGAAGATTCTCACTGGTAGCACCAGTCGAATGGGTTTTGTCCTCAGCTTCCCCCTTCCCGTTTGAAACATGGGCAGATTTTTCATCAGGCATTTTCAAATTTTCAATGAAGTCCTCTGCATAATAAGAAGTTCATGGAGTATGTAAGTATAAGAAACACGTTGTTTATCTTTAACAGAGAAAACTCACCTATGACGTGCATACAAATTGCAGTTGGGTTCTTCAGACGACTTGGGCATGAGGCAAGAATATCCCCGGAGTTGCCATCAAAGAGAAAAACTTGTGCATCCTTTGTCATTGCATACAAGATCAACTCTTCAGAAACCTCGGGATTTTCGAGTTCATCATTTGGACCACTTACTGTGTCAGTTGATTCTGAAAATGATTTCACAGAGAGTGACCTGATCGGGGAACTTGAATCAGATATGACGTTCGTAATAAACATTATTGAAGATGCAGCAACATCGAGCATCCCAACCTGAAAAACGGAGTGAAAAAACCCATCATCAACATTCCGATTTCTGTCCTTTCGAGGAGAGAAAGTGTCCATGTGAACAATTTTTAGGAAAAAAAAAAGGAAATGAATATCTACCCTGCCGCATTCGAATCCTACAGCAAGCTTTCTGGCAGACTGCATAAATTGCAATGCACAAACAGGAGAACTCAGGATGGAAAATGCTGCTAACCACCAAGGTCCATCTACTTGATGCAATGCATGAACTGCAGGAAATGAAGTTATGGCATGACACAACAGCATAAATAGAAACTGAAAAAAATATCTCAATGACCATTAAAAAGAATTTGGCTCCAGATAAAGAACCCATCTGGGTCAGATGTAAATCATCAAAACAGCAACATACATATACTTAACAAAGGACATGATAATTTCATCATACCTTGCCTATCACGGTCAGTAACAATCGTCAAACTTGCTTCATCCTTATGCCCAACCAGCTTGTATAACCGAACCTACAAATCCAGAAAGAAAATAAGACAGAGAGAATCAATTGGACATTAAATATAAGCTACAGATAAGGAGGTGTTAACAGAAACAGGTATTCTTACCATACCACATTCGTTGCCAACAGCTAAACACAGAGTCTTAGTGCAGAAGTGAAGTGCAGATACCGATGCATCTGTCCCAGCTAGTTCAACACCATTTACCTGGGTCATTGGCCAAGGATTAAAAATTAATTGTAACATCTTACTGAAATACCAACAAGATTATAAATTTAAAACTTTTCAAGGTAAAGGTCACAAAGGTCAAAAGTTCTAGCATTCATGCCTTGGGATCCAAGGTATAAAGAAGAGATAGAATGGGACAAGTGGCGTCCCATATTCGCACCAACCCATCTTGATATCCTGCTATGTACAGTCTTTCAAGCTTGTAATATTCGGGTTGGTTTGGAACACCACCAGTCAGAGGCCATTGTACATTTGCTCCTAATGGAGTGCGAGGTGTTTGAGCTTTTGCTGCTAGGACCATCTATTCATGAAAGAAGAAATAGATTAATTGCCTCATACACTACCCAGTGGCTGTCCTGATCTGTGTCATAGGCAGACTACCTCGGAAAGTGTCCTTGAGGATTTATCATTTCCGTTAAGTGCAGCAAGAATCATCACTGTCATATATGGATCCATAGATGGTATAACCATTGGATATGGCAGAGGAGAGACAGAAACATGTTCATCCTTCTGAGACATTAGGGAAGCAAGGGAAATGTCATCATATGCATGTAACTGTCCTGGATTTGTCAATAGAAAAAGAAACATTCCCCTGCTCCTTGAACTGGAAATTGGTGACAAGACCATATCAGCGAACGAACCGCTAAGGGTAAGGTCAATACGGCTGACACATTTCAGACCTCCCATACCAGAAGACACATCAAGGGTCAACATCTGCACATAGTGATCATCAGTACCAAGACCTCATATTAGCACTTGTATTTGAGTTAATGAACATCTTATTATTGTGTTCAACTGCTATACAAATGCAACATTTGTAAAAGGAAATATTGTAATTCCTTCCCTTGCTCGCCAAAGGATCCTAACATTGGTAAGATTACGGGAATAATAGAACTATGAAAGTACTGACTCGACTTGAGTTCTCACCGTAAGAACTTCTTCAGAACCAATGATGTCACCACCATAAATGAAGAGCTTTCCACTATCTCTTCGAGATGCATCCAAGCACCAATGCATAACAATGACAGGAAGTCTTTTCTCGGCCGATGACAACTGGAGCTTAACGACATGATTAGATGGCTTTTTAATATGTCCATCAGAAAAGTTCCAAAATAATATATCTCCATCCACATAACCAACAGCAAGAACTGAACCATCAGTGGACGCCCAACACAGAGAACTTATCTCTTTCCCCTCTAATTCAAGATCAGAAAGCTCAGTGTGAAAAACTTCTGGAGAATTTCCCACTGTTTTACCCTCCAAAGGTAAATCTTTGTTTCCTCGAACCAGCAGGACACGATCTTCTGACGCATCCCAGAGAAAGAGTAATCCATTTGAAAATGCAATCAGCAATCTGCGGGAAGAGTCCTTTAAATATATTAAAGAAACTGATCACATAAAAGATGTAATGCATGTGTGGACAGAGAGAAATAAAAAACAAAAACAAAAGAAAGGAAAGGATGCAATGTAAATACAGTGCTGATGAAGCATAAAAGAAGACTTTTGTCCATCTACAAGATTAGTATCTCAGATTTATAAAAAAAAATAAAACTGAATTAACATACTTCCCATAAGTGATAGAGACTAAGATCAGGAAATTGTCACATCCAGTCCAGCTAAGCGATTTTCAGATGCAAATACTCTAGTTTCAAATTTAACGATGGCGGATGTGGGAGCAAGAAGTCAAAGAAATAACAAAGGCAACAGCCAGAAGCGAAAATCATTGAGTTAACCAACTGCTATGACAAACGTAACAGACCAATTTCAAAGGCACAAACGGATAAAGTCCTCTGATAAGCTTTTGCACAATAGGGACTACTAGAATAAGAAGAATAGGTGGAATTAATGATGGATAAAGTCAAAATTTATTTAACAAAACTTACTGCCCACAAGCCAGAGAAACAAGTAGGCAAATTAAGACAAGTTGTTCTCACCTACTTCCCTTCGAACAAGGTTGGGAAAGAAGTCCGACTATGGGATGTTCAATAGGAGATGAAAGTCCTGCCGCTTCTGTAAAAAAGGGAAAAAAAGATAAAATAGTTAACAAAGAACAACTTATGCAAGCTAATAAGGACTTTTACTCTTGACATCCAATACTGATGCAGCCAGTTGAACTAGTACTCATAAAAACTCGGTGCTAAATCTTACGCACAGAATCTAGTTTTGTGAATTCCTTTAACGAAAACAGATAAATATCGAACCACGAATTAAGAAATAAAGCATCTTTGTTACCCTTCAATATGAAGAAACAGGCTAAACCTAACTAAAAATGTTGATGAAACCTAAGCCTACAAAGCTATTCTCTCAGTAATATGATGAAAGCTTCTGAGCACATCAAAATGTAAAGCAAAACTTTTACCAGCCAATGCATCGGTGGGAACATAATAAGGAAGCTGTACAAGTTTCCCTTCTTCAGCATTATACTTCATGACAGACACCATACCGTATTCATCACCAATGAACCTGAGAGTGAGAGATTAAAAAGTCAACGAATCCATAGCAAGATGTAGATGAAATGATGATACTACATTATGTTTTAATAAGATAAGCTCAGTACATGTAACCAGTTCCATGAAGGATTGAAAAAGCAGTAATGTTGGATTCCCATTGTAAGCTCGAGGCTGTCTGCCTGAGATCCAAGTCCCAGACCTAATACAAAAAAAAATGTGGATTAAACCTACAATGCATGCCGTCGAACAATAACAAAACAAAGTGGGATGTCACAAGCTTGGAAGGTCGATGAAGAGAAGGCATCAGATAAAACATTAAACTCAAACACAATGATTAACCAATACGGCAATACCTGAATCTCATTTTCATTTGAGACGCTGACCAGAAAACCTTGGTTTTGTATGAACTGTAAAAAGTAGGGAATAAAATTCAAGTAGAGCTTTTAGTCACCGTAGTTACATCAACAAGCAAGAGACTTTGATATTTTATCAAAACATAAGTAGCCTCAGTAAGGGATAGATTAACACTGCAGCACTCAGAAGAACAGAAACCACAAACCATATTTAAATAGGAATTACGAAAAGTTTATACAGTGGAAAAGCAAGCACCCACCCAACTTCTAATAAACCAGTAATGAAGGGAACACCAGAAAATTAAACTGGAAAACGCATTTACAGATGGAAAGAACCCAAACGAAAACTGGGAACCATTATTGAGAATGGTTGGTAGCCTACGAACAAATTTAGAGGTGTATAGAAAATTTCAAACCTCCAAGTTCTTGAAAGGTAATTGTTTAGGAGATGCAAGAATTGCTTCAATGTTATCTCCACCAATCACTTTTATCCTTCCATCTCTGCAGCGGGTGAAAACTAGAGCATTACATTTTACATTTCAAATAGGCAGAGACCAGCGAGATGGCTTCTCACGCCCATCATAGGTAGACTAGCAATCGAAAAGAATAATGTATGTCTCTGATCATGCAAGTTTCTGATATCATTTGATTCATTTCTCTCTTCATATCTACCCTCAATCTCTAATGCGCAACACCTAAATCACTTAGACGGAAAAAGCTTTGGGTGTTCAACTAGAGAGATTAATGAATGCATGTGTTGCACTATTTTCTGTGGCCAGACAGAAAAAAGAACTTACAATGTGCCTATAGCCAAGAGGCTTTGAACAGGGTCAAAAGCAAGAACAGAAGCTGTCGACGGTATACCATAGTGGATAACAGTCTGAGGATCCAAATCTGCTTCAACCAAACATCCCTGTGAAAATTTATACAATTTATGAACGTCTAGTGCCAAAAAGAAATGCATTCTTGCCCATTATTGATGAAGATTTAGAGCTATCAGGGAACATAAATCATGCAATGGTTGACAATACAAGTTCCAAAACTATGTAAGCATCTCATAGAGTTTAGATGAAAAAAACCCCATGCATCTGATGATATAAGCAAACATGGTTCCAATCCTGAAGTTGTCGCCTGTTCCTCGAACTAGCACAATGATCCATGTATTGATGAATTCAACTTCTTTCAAGAGATCATTGTTCTTTTAAAAATAGAGTATCGTTACTCATTGCAAAGGAAAGATTCACAAGATTTTCTTGCAAATCCAATAACTTTCAAATTCGACAAAAGTACGGAACAAAAAAAGAATTGGATTTGCCAAAAATGGAAGCTTTATTCGTGAAACTCCTCAGGGACAACAAATGTAGAACTGACGAGGAAGAAACGAAAGGGTAAGAATTACCTGCGGCCGAGGAGACGCCGGGGATTTCTGATCGTCGGCGGATTTCTGCAGAAATTTTCTGGCGAACATGGAACGAAATCAAAGGACTATCAGCTGATTCCTCTCCTCCTCCTGTGATCAACGAACGGATTCAAGCGAGAATATTCAATTCCGACGAACGCATCGGCCGGTGACGGCGGCGACCACAAGCAGCAGCGACGGTGGATAAGGGCGGATTGCGGAGGAGCCCGTCGTCGGAATTCGAGCAAGTTCAAAGGTCAAGATCAAAGCTTTTGATTTTCAAAATGTGAAGGTGCAACCCGATGGTTGTCCAATATTTTTTCCAATTTAAAACAAAAAAAAAAGTCATTTTTATATTAGCATTACCTTTAAAAAAAATAAATTAAATTTAAAAAATTGATCAAATCCAAATAAATTCCAATGGATAGCTATTATTACTAACGTTCAAGTGATTAATGTCATCTTGCAATGCAAAATTACATATGACCACTCTAAATTAAAAAAAAAATACAAAGTGTGCAAGAGTAAAAGTTTAATCTATAAATTATATAAGAAAAATTATAAATTTTAATTTTATTAAATACAAAAATTATACTCAAAACACCAAAATAGATATGAATTTTATTTTATTATATGAATATTGACTGTTTCTGGCCACCGACAATTTCCCCCTGATCACTTTCTTTTGCAAATGTGTATAGCTTTTGTTTGATATAGAAAAATTGTTCCATTATAAAGTCAGGGAATTATATGAACTGTTTACAAAATCTCAATCCTATGTATTTTCAGTCTTTTTTTAAGATTTGATTTTATTCAATTTTATATGAAGTTTCACTTAATTTTAATGGATATAATATTTTTTTTAAAAAGTGAAATAATTCTAGAAATTATTATATATTTAGTTCAATATCATCTTTTATTTTATTTAAAAATATTCTTGTAATATTCAACAGGTGTGGGGCATGGTAGGAAACCTTCAACATCTAGGCAAAAAACCATAGACACAAAATAGCGTGTTATTCTCTAATTCTATTTTTTTTTTAATAAGGGACTTCTATTTTTTTTTATTCCCATAAAATACAGATGATAATTAAGAAAACTATAGGGTACACAGTCGGTTTATTCGATTATTATTATTTTTTTGTAAAATTATTTGATTATAGTTGATTCAGATTTGATTTTAAAAAATTTATAACAAAACGATTATTTGATTTTAATCGATATGATTTCGATTTGGTTATGTTTCGGTTCCATTTGGTTATATCTAATTTAAATAATAATCAAATAATAACCAAATGTAATCATAATCAATAATAGTAAATGAATTAAATCTTAAAATATTATTACAAATTACAAAACTATATAAACAATTTTATAAATATATTATATTAATCGATAATATATAGGGAGTCGAGCGGTTAAATTTGATATATTCGGATTAATTCAGATTTGTATTATTTGTATTTAATTATTTGTTTAGAAAATTTATAATCAAATATTTATTTATTTTTAATCGATCTTATTAGAATTTAGTTTGGTTTGATTTGATTTTAAATAACCAAACCTTTCGGTCACCCTTCTAATCATAAATTTTAATCAAATTTGTTATTATGGATAATAATTAGTCGGAATAACCCAAGTGGATGCTTATTAGATGATAATTAGGTTTTTACAAGTTATATATATCATGAGATCAATATATATATATATAAAGGAAAATAAAAATGTATTAAGGAGTCACCCATTTCCCCATAAAAGCAGGCGACAGTCTGACAATAAAAATATATAATTATGCCCAAAGTTGGGAATATTTTGGACAGCCAACCCTATCTATACATACATACATACATAATGTATGTGTAAACATAATTAATTATGCCAACCAAATCCCATTCTTCCTGTCCCTGACAACACACCCATTCCATAAACCCTTGTCTGATTCTTAATTAAGCTCTCTTTTACTTGAGCAAATTATGCACTTACACAGCAAGAACCCTAATTAATAATATTTTAAAATGAAATTTGCATTCCCTCAAATTGATGCTTAAGCAGAAAAAGAAACACCAATTTCCCAATAAAACATGTCTTGTTTAGGCTTTTTTCTTCCATGTTAGCATACATATCCCTTTATATATGTATATATATATTTCCTTTATTTTTTTTGTTAAAGTATATATTTCCTTTATTTACATGTGCATACTACATAAACTCCCAAATTTAGAGTAAGCTTATACTTTTTTTAGAAAATTTTAAAAAAAGTTTCTACTTAGAATCACACACACATATATAAAGATATATATACACAACACATTATATATGTGTAGAGACCATCACATTCACACTTGTGAATTAGAGCTTTGCTTATTTCATACAAACACGCCAAAAAAAAAAAAATTGGTATCGTTCATATTGACGAATATATTATACAAACATTTCCTGATAGCTGAGTTGATCAAAACCTTCCATCTTTTTTCATGGCTTCCTCTTCAGCCCACCACCACTTTCTCCCCAACATCCACGGCGGAGCCACGGCGGCGCCGCCTCCGACTCCATCAACGACGCAACCGAACAACGCCCACTTCTCATCGGCGGCGTCGGAGGCCTCCGCGGACGCACTCGCCGGCCTCCTCCACCGCCTCCCTCCGTCGCTCTCCCTTCCCAGCCGCCGCCGCTCTACCGCCCCCTCTTCCGCGTCTCTTCCTGCCGTGTCTCTCGCCGGAGACGGCGGAAGCAGCGATGATCTTCTCTCCGCCGCGACTGAGTCCGGCTACTTCGACCTGACGGACTGCGGTACGATGATCCCGAGTGAACTCGCTCACTCGGCCGAGTCGGACTCGCTATCGCTCTTCGGACTTGGTGAAGAACAAAAGGAGACGTGGCTCCCGAAGGCCTGGCCGCTGGGTTACGAAGCCGTTGACGGAGAGGAGGCCGAGACGGGGTCGTTTTGCTTGGACGCGGACTGTTCGACCGAGCCTTCGAGCGAGTTGAAACTCACTTCTCTACGCGAGTTCACTCGGGCTCTGGGGGAAATCGGTCTGAAGACGGTGGAGAAGTTAGCGAGTGCTGTCGGGTTCGATAACCCGTTTGGACATGACCCGACCCGGTTATGCACCTTCATGTGGATTCACGAAGGAATATCCGGTGACAAACCGGCGATCTCCGGCGGGTTTTACCCGTTCGTCGTCTGTTTACAGTACCAGATAAGGGAACAGAAGTATTGCTTGATGACCGAGTCGGGTTGGGTGACCGTGGCGCCCCGAGTTGACTCGGTTCTTGTCACGCTCGGTGATATCGCTCAGGTAAATTCCCGATGTCTATTATTGGCTCAAGACACTGTAGTTGTTTGCTTTCAGTCTATAATTGACGTATGCCACTGTAGTTTGTCAGTGTGGGGTTTAGATAAAAAAAAAAAAGGACCCAAACCATCCGAACCGGAGTGACTTCAGTCTTGTTTCCATAGATTTTTGTCTCTAAACCGAATTAACGGAATCCAAGATATCTAGTAACTGATGGTGGTTTCGGTTCGGATTCTGGTTTAGCTATTCGATTTGGTTTGATTCGAACTTTTCTCTTTCGATTTTAAAAAATGGTATTTTGGTTTGGTTGCGGATGCAGAAAGGGAAAGAATTGGGTTCTAATTCGTTTGGTGGATTATACCGGTTCGGTTCGGTTTTCTCACGCCACCACTACTGAAAAAATGTTTGGGTTGGTACCTTCTGAGAGAACCGGAGGGCTCTCCCTCGTGAAGTGTTTTCCCTTACCCCTGGAATACACAACTCGAGTTCATAATTTTAACAAGTGAATGAAACTTGAAGGCAACATTGTATATATATATATGATGTCTGGATTGCCGGAATATAAAGCTAAGGTTTTTAGATATAATACATGATGTTTGGTATAGGTGTGGAGTAACGGGAAGCTGAAGAAAGTTAGATACAGACCGGTGGCATGCTCGAGTCAAGGCGAAGGCGACGACGGACGAAGCAAACGCCTAACCATGTCATTGTTGTTGACACTTCCCATGGATTCTAGGGTTTCACCTCTGATGCCCGGAAAAGACGACGGAGATGAAGGGCTCGGGGAGGAGGAGGAAGAAGAAGACGGGGAGAAAAGGGTATTTAGGTCATTTTCGTTCGAGGATTACGCATGGAGAGTTTACAACGAACGTCTCTACTTCAAAGATCCGCTCGACAGGTACCGCACAAGGCTTTAGAAGGACGGAGCTTTTAGGGCCAAGAGAAGTATATTGTTTTGAGATTGTGTTGTGTTTTCTCGAGTGTTATGTCGTGGATTGTTGATTTATTTGTTCTAGTTTTGTTTTTTTAATATTGTGTTCTGTGTTAAAACCCTACAAAATGGCATGTTACATCCGTTTGTGCTCAATTTTGTCGAGGTATGCTCTACCAAATAGACGTTAGAGAAATGAGAAAACCGAGCGAGCTAGAATCCAAACCCGGTCCGAGAAGGTATTTGGAACTAAGGTTCCGAAACGGGTTAAATACACGAAATTTTAACATCTAAATTCATACATTGGATTTGGTTAGGGGTGTCAATTTGGGCCCGAAGCCCGACCCGGCCCAGCCCGAAAAATAGCGGGCTTCGGGCCGAAGTTTATTGGTCTGAAAAAAAATCGGGCTTTCAGGCCGGACTCAAATCGGGCTTCAGACTCGAGTCGGGCCGGCATGAATGCCCAAAAAAAATTTTAAAAAAAAAGAAAAAAAGAAAAAAAAATAACATTTACAAAGAAGATCCGTGGGCTGGCCTGGCCCGGTCCGACCCGAGTCCAAAGTGGATAGGGCCGGGCTTCAGGCTTAATTATATAGGCTCGAAAAAAATCGGGCCGGCCCAAGCCCGAGCCCGAAACTTCCGGACCGAGTACCGAATCGAATCGGCCCGATTGACACCCCAGATTTGGTATCGAATTTTAGGTTTAAATAGGGGTTTTGGAAACGCTAAATTGGTGACCAAGATTTGGGTATTCGAATTCAAAATTTGGCCAAATCCGAAATCATACCGACAGACAGCAGAGCTAAATAGGGGTTTTGGAAATGCTAAATGGGTGACCAAAAAATGCATAAAGACATTAAGAGGGTAGTTATGGTTCGAAACTCCGATGGCAAAGTTGGTGGGCGAGAAAGGGATTTTAGAGACGACAAGATGAGAGCACATGGAGAGGAATTCGGTTTCGGGTGAGAATTTTACGAGTATCCATCTCACGAGATCGATCCGAGAAAAAGGTTAGGGGTACCCGACACTTGACGATCCACGGATCTCCATCTGATAGGGACTCGGCTGAGGGAACCCAACTACCCCGCAAGGAGAAGATCAGAAGCATTGTCTCCCAAAAAAACCCCAAACTTCAAGTCCGAGGTCAAGTTCTATCCGAAAACTCAAACCCACAAGTAACCCGAAGCAAGATTGCGAGAGAAAAAGGCAAACCAACGGAAGAAACGTGATCCGTCATTCTTAGGATTCCGTCTGAGGTCAAGGGTATTTTCATCCTTCAGATGATTCCTTAAACACTAGATTAGGATTTTGAGCAGATTCATACACCACACCTCGCTTGCCAACCTCGCCTTCCTCGTGTCTCGCCTCCCGACGGGGTATGCTCAAATCCTCCATCTCTCTTATCATTCTTTCCC